ATATATTTAAGGTGGTCAAGTTAGGTGAAATACTCGGTATATAAATATATAGTAAATGTCTCAATTTCTGTTCACGTTACAATTTCTACTCAATGGTTTGATACATAAATTGATACAATCATATCCACTACTCCTAAAGGGCATTTGCACGAGTGTCCGTGCGCCTTAGCATAGGCAACCCGCCCGGAGGGCCTAGCTGAGGACGACGCGTTTAAGGCACGCAGAGTGAAGCTAGTATCATATAAAATGATAGAAGAAAAAGCCAGTGAGCAGAAATTCTAATATGAATTTACTATAATAATATATAGTAAGAAATTATGTAAACCAATTCTTAATCGAAATATGTACTCGTCTTTTCTATCGATGTCCGGCGTACCTTGAATTTCGTTAGGGGCACATTCGCACGTTTCCGGTTGGCAACTGACACAGTCATTTCCATCTACGGTCACTGTAGCATTTTTGCATATTACGCATACGGGACGGCCATCTTTAAAACCGACTTTTTTACTAAACTTGTTGCACACACATCGTAATCCTATATAAGAGAAACTGACCTATAATAGTAAGTGGTAGAAAACTCGATGGTTGACTTACGATCACTGGACGGTGTTAAATTGTTCTCGCAGGGTACGCAGAGGAACGACGAGACGTCAAAGTATTCCTTGCCTCTGCAATCGGACGGTTGTACAAATTTCATTACGTTTTTACTCGGCCAAGACGCCTGAGTAAAGTATGTACAGTAAATTAAAAAATGCACTATGTATGTTCTTAAAGGAGCAAACATTTCTGTCGACTATTTCACTGAGCGTGCACACAGCACTCGACTATTTCTGACTGTGTAACGTAACGTTTGTATACACGTTTCCATAACGACCAGCCACGATGCAAAGGTACCGTTTGCCCGGAGTGAAACAGATATTAGGTGGATGTAGGTAGGTGGTAGGTAGGTGGCTGTTGTTCCGTCGACAAGGGTTACACGTTACACCATGCTGGGAATACATAAGGTGTATTATTACGCAGCTGATTGAAACAGCAAGTCACGTGCCCTCCCTTGTAACAGCCATATTGTATCAATTAATTGTATTTCACGTTAAAAGGTGGGAAGTCAAGAAGTATTATTCCAGTTTTTACAACTTAACACAGCGCCATCTGGCATTTTGATCAGTTTTTATTTTAGCAAATAGTAAGTAGCCATTTCTCAGTTGATCGCCATATGGAATGCGCAATAAGTGACAAAAACGGTACCACCGGAAGAACAGCTCATGGGTTATAGATTGATCTATCACTTAATTATACATATGGGTAACTTGAGGGATCCCAGATCTACTTCGCATGCATATATGGAAAATGTAGTGACTTCTGTTTCTGCCTTTAATACTTTCTTTGCATCTCTGCTAGTTGAAGTTATTTTCTATGTGTGTATGCGAAGTGGGTCCGGAGTCCAATCCAATGAGTCATCTGTACACAGCATTGTCAGAACGCAGGACTTCTCTTCCTGTCCTGTTCCCCACTACTTTTTTTCCCCCACTTACGTTATGATCATTGAAGCCTTGCCTAATAATGCCATACGTAAGTAGGGAGACCACATTGAGCATACAATAGTGGGGAGAGCACGGGAAGAGGAGAGGTCCTGCATTCTGGCAACGCTGCCTGTACGCCTGTTTATTTGCAGTCCAATAAACGACTCGGTCTATGTAATCAACGGTGAAACATATTTCTACATATTTTTTATCGTATCCGTTTTATTATGAAAAACGAAGTTTACAAAATCTTCTGATACTTCAAACTATAGTACGCCCGAGTATGATAACTGTAGTATCTAGGCTCGTGTCTGATACCGGTTATAAATTTCATATCCGCAGATCGTTTAATGCTCTTGTCAATATTCTTCTGGTCGTAAGTCCTCATAGCTCGTTCGGCCCATTCTTGCGCCCTGGGTGGTTCCCGGAATAAGCCCTTTTGTCTTTGATTCAGATAGTCTATCACGTCGTTGTAGTAATTTTGTCTGAAAAGAGAACAACAAGAACGCCTAATTACAAACTGCAAAAGATGCTATTTATGCAAATTTCTTCATGAAAACTGAAACGTCGGATGATCGAATTAGTGAAGAATTTATTTTCTTACCTGTAATCGTAAAGATACGCGTAATTGAGGAAGAGCGGACGAACCCAATGATGATTGTAGTGCGGTGGCTCGAGTTTTAGTAATGTTATTTTCGGTTTTTCCGCGGCGTCTTTGGCAGCGGCTCCTTCAGCAGGCGCTCCTTCAGCAGCTGCTCCTTCCTCGGCGGGTTGATCCGCGGGGGTGTCATCCCCGATGTCCCATGGCGCTGGCTCGTCGTCCCACATGCTTATTCGTGCGCGTCCAAAATTCGATTAGCCCTAGAAAATAAATAAAAACTTTCGTCGATACAACGTTCGTCCCCTACCTCCCACGCTCGATTTCCCGATCTAAATTATATTCGTTTAACGTTCGCAACAGTTCAGTTTTTGATCGTTCTGCGCTTCTCAATTCTTTACCGAGTGGAGGCAGTTCGTTGCGACCCCCACCACCTTCCAAGCTGCGCGAAACGGTCATAAACTCTCGGGAACACGAGTACAAGTCAGGGATTGTAAGAAAATTAGAAAATCTCCATCGATCCACGCCTAGGCCGGAAGTATCATAAAACAGTGCGAAAACCACACTGACGATGATGACTCTTAGGACAAAACGTTTTATCTCAAAACCAGTAGTCATTTTAGCGACAACGTTGAACCAATCAGAGTGTGAAACTCTTCTTTAACTCTGACGCTATTTTTTCTTTAATTCTCTGATTATTATAACCCTTTTCTCGCATCGACACCCACGCAACTGATCCCTTGACCATCACTGACTCCCTCTAAAATCTGATTGACCCCGTTGGAAAACCCCTAAACGATTATACCCATGTTTGTTGCTCCTCTTTCGTTCGGGTAGACACCTTAAAACCGGCGTAAGTAGAATCGATATATTTAGCTAACCGAATGTATTTAAAGAATGAGAGCAGGTCGCGTTAAAGTACAACAAACTGTTGGATCGCGGCACCGATTCATCCTTATCGCAACTGTAACGGAATGCCCGACGCGCCGTTTCACTTCGTCATCCATCCACGATCTCTACGATGTATCTTTACGATTCAGTTTAACACCCTCGTGTCTTATACCGAGGCTGTTCAACTGAACAGCAACTGTCAACTCGCGATTCACTCTTTTCTCTTCTTCATTTTTTTTTTTACGAGATAAGTGCTGTTGCAAACTTCCCAATCGACCGTTTCATCCACGATGCACTATTCTTGAACGAAAACTTGAACTTGTAACTTATAAAACGAATCGTTTGGAACGTCGCGTAGCCACCGCGTAGATTGGAGAACGAGAACTGGTTTGAATGGTCGTGAACGACGTTGTTAATACCTGCGATATACAAGCCACTAGGCAACTGCGCTAACGAGACGAACTACTCTGACGGGACGACTGATAAAACTAATCTAGCTGTGTTTGCGTTTGTTTCGCTTTTATTTTAGCTTATAAGCGATTTTCCTCACCGCTTCCCACCCAGTCTGATCCTGAAGAACAAAAAGGGGGATGCCCCTCTCTTCTGAAAAGCAACGCGTCGTAGTGCAAGTGGAAACAAGTTACAAGCTCGTGATTGAGTGAGCGAGAGAGAAAGAGAGGAGAGACAGAAGGGGTTCAGAGGTGGTGGATCTTTTGGCACTGAAACTGCTGTAATCACATTGTTACCGTGCAACGAGAAGTGTAGTTTAATAATCGTCGGCTAATTTTATCTAGTCGCTAATCACGATCCTTGTCCTCGTATGAAGCTGACCAAGCGATTTCAGGCTCGGTGCAAGTAAGAAAAACAGATCTTAATTTACCCTTGCAATTGGAATTTGGGATTAAGTAAATTGAAACGTCAACCGAATGAACTAATTCTTGCTGTTTGAACTGCTTTAAGCGCGGTTCAGGGTTATCGAGGACGGCGCAAGATGATCTGTTATGTTTGTTTTGTAACACGGCACGCGTCGTCGGCCGCATCAAAAATAATTGTACATACTACGTATGTACCTACTTAGAATGTAGTTCGAGGAACGAATCCTGAAACTGTTCGCATTATTTATTAATTATTTCAATATTTATATAGTCCTTCTATCGTTCTTCTGGTTGGAAGACAGTTTAGATAGATGGGTCAGAAGTATTGCTCCTATTTTTTTTATTTTCTTCTTGAATGCCTGTAAACGTGAGAAATGACCATTTTGGATGGACTTTTCTCGTTATTCTCATTGGTAGACAATTTAAATGGACGAGTGGACATATTGGAATGACAATGAGAAATATTGCTTCCATTTTTTTCATTATTGTTCTTGAATGCATATAAACATTTATGAGAGACGACAATGTGGACTTTTCTTTTTCTATTTATTGGAAGATAGTTTAGATGAGTGTTTCCCAACGTGGGACCCACGCCTAATAGGGGGGCAATTCGAAAATGGACTTTAAGTTAGAATTTAAGTTAACCATATGGCGACTTTCAATTGCTATTCGAATTAAACAACTTTCTTTAATATAGAAGAAGTAATAATATGGCTTTCTGAGGAAACAGATATCAAATATCCAAATTCAACCGAATTTGCAAGGAAACTATGTTTGTTACCATTTCTATCTTCATAGTTTAGCTGAATGTAGTGCCATAAATGGCACAAAAGCTCAATATGCTAGTAAAAAAAGAAATCAGTTGGATATAACACAACGGTGAGGCTTGAGACTGAGGCTAACTACGTTGGAACCTAACATAAAATATCTTTGCAGCAAGCATCTCACTAAATTTAAATAATAAAATCTCAGCAAGTGCAAAGATTTCACTAAATTTAAATAATAAATAATTACTTATAATTAAAATAATATAGAAGACTCATCATTCATTAAAGTTATTTGTACTTGAATTTCAATTCTCCACTGTATTTTTTGAAAATTTAGTTACTATAATACGTTTCCTCAACAATTTCCTAGTGATTTCTTTCTAAAATGTATTATTTAAGTTTCCTCAGTGAACAATTTAATTTTTTAATATCAAAAATTATATATAAATTATATGGGGGAATAAGAATTTTGGAGAGGCTTAGGTGGGCCATGGCACAAAAAAGGGTGGGAGACACTAGTTTAGGTGTACAGGTAGATAGATTAGAAAGATAATGATAAAACAATGTGAAGTCTTACTTCTATATTTTCATTATTCTTCTTAAATGCATTTAAACATTTATGAGAAACGACAAGATGGAGTTTTCTTGTTCTCCTAATTGGTTGACAGATTAGATAGGCGTGTGGACAGATTAGAAGGACGATGATGAAACATTGAGAAGTAATTTTCATTATTCTTCTTGAATGCATATAAATATTCCTGAGAAACGACAAGATGGACACTCCTAGTCCAACTCTCTGTCCGAATTCTTTTGTCTCACGTGATGAATTCGATATCCACGTTTTGCAATTATGATCATCGTCATAAGTCCTACTTATTTATAGATTTGCTGCTATATCTCTAAATACGCATCGATCAATCGATCACGACGTAGTGTCGAAATAGAAACATTGACATCGTACCCTGGTTTAGTTACTATAGTAGTATAAATCATAAGTTAGCACGAGTCCTCCTCGAAAGGGTGAAGCTATAAAATGCCCACATCTACTCGTTGAGACAATGGAACTCGTCAGTAGCCTAACTAAAATTTTGCAGTAGTATATAACATTACATTAACTATAAGAGTATATAACATTGCATTAACTATAAGAGTATATAACATTGCATTAACTATAAGAGTATATAACATTGCATTGCATTGCTATAACATTGGAGGAGTCATAAAAGTGATAAAAAATGGATTCCTTTGTGGGATAAGCAATTATTGTTCGTAGGTAGAAAACGGAAACGAAAGGAAAGCCATATCGTATAGTTACATTAATAATTTATTCTTTTCTAATTTTTTATTTAATCGTACGAAAGCCGTTACAATGTTTGGTCGTCGTCGTTACCTAAGCTAAACGAAACGATAGTCTTAAACGATACTTTGTCTTTTTTCCTTTGCCTCATTCCTCTGACGTTCGTTTAAAACGAAACGTTCTTCTTTCTATTGGAGAATCTCCTTTTCAACGGTAGCATAGCGACTACGTTTAACGGATCTTCGATTTTTGAATCCGCGTTATCGTCGATCTTAGCTCGGACGCGTTTCGATTTCGCAGGCTGTGGCAGGTACGACGTCATATCGATGTTAGGCACCTTTACTAGTTTTATGGTTTTAGGCACTGGCTTTGGTGACAATCCTTCGAGATGGATGAACTTTTTCGATGATAAATCGTCGCAGTTCTCTTCAGTGTTATCGAATTTTGTTGCGTGTCGTTGGAACGCAAAGTCTGCCTGTTCCAACGTGTTCCTAGCCTTCTCGATCTCCGCGTCCAAATTGATCACATCGAAGAATCGATCCTGCGAACAAATTCACGTGACGCTGTTTCAAAACCGTTGGAATTGTAATATTTCATGTAATAGAGCTAAACTTAAGCATGCCTGCATGTCTCTTCGTTTGCGCCTCAGGTCGGCCAAGTCTTCAGCGAAAGCAGCGGCAGCGCGCTCCTTATGACGCCGCTGGGTAATAACAAAATCGTCTTCCAAATCATTCTCCATTCCTCGGTCGTATAAATAATCCAAATCATCAAAATAATCGTTACGATACAAATTCTGGACACCTAAATTTTGGATTAGTAAATCATTCCATAGTTTAGATGATTATCTCGCGTCTATCTAGTAGTAATAGTAGCATTAGTAGTAGTAGTAGTAGTAGTAATTTAAGTATCTGCCATAATACATACTACAAGCGCATTAAAAAGAAACATGGATGACGTTTGTTAGCGGGTTCTTAACCCCATTGAGTTATATAAAATATCTGGAGTGTGCGCGGCTGTTAAAAGTCGTAAGATAGAAGAGTAGCGATGATGCTCCAAGAAGCGAGAAGCTATGGGGGATCTCTGTCCTTCTTTTTATATTCTCTCTCTCTATTTGTATTATCGTGTAGTAAATTTAACTATGGTGGGGATAGAAGTTCAGTATTCTATCGAATCACTTGAATTTATAACATTGTCAATCACTCGACATATACGCGTTCGAGTTCAGGTTCAGAAAACATGCATTATACACCTAAAAAGAGAAAGAGATTCCTTCACGGTTCCTCTTCGTCGGCGAACGTACCCCCCCCCCCCATTCGTTCACACTCCAGATGTTTTATATAGCTCAATGCTTAACCCATTTGCGTCATAAGCTCAAACAAAATGTCCTACAAAAAGTGTCAGAGTCAAAGAGGGGCGATTGTGAACAATAATTTCCTTTGGCCAAATGCAAAGTGAGGCATGGTTTTTGAATTGTTAACGAAAAACACTTAACCAATGGGAGGACTCGTAGGGCCCGCGTTGACCAACGGCCGAGCGTCACTATCCGAGCCAACCTACCCGTCGCTGAGGGCGGGCCCTACGCATGCTCTCATTGGTCAGTGATTTTCTTTAATAATTCAAAAACTATTCTTCACTTTGCATTTTGCTAAAGGAAATTGTTGTTCAGAAACACATAAAAAATCAACTACTTTTTTCTAGATGTCCTACATATGTACACTTTTGATGATATGGACCAATTCTCCATTTGTCCAAATGATGCAAATGGGTTAATTTTATGTAGTAGCTGTCTAATATAAATAAACGACACTACATATGTGATTCTTAGGTACAAATTTGCTTTTCATGAATTTATACAAAACCATAGTTATCAATCTTTTCTTGATCCTGTCCTTGATACTACTCGCTACCACTACAAATAGAAAAAGAATAGGTACACGACATGCAGACATGCACAGGTGCTACGAAATATACATAATAACGCAATGGAGGGACAAAGTTTATTTTAAATAAATAAGATAGGAAAAGAAGAATACATAGAACGTTTGAGACATCTAGGGATCACTACATCATGAGGAACGTTTTCGTTAAAGACTCGACTACGAATTTGGTCGGTCGAAAACGAGAACCGAGGATAAAAGAGATATCTTTTATTTTCATTTCACATACATTTCTCGATGATCGACTATGTCGTACAAAGCAAGATGCGCGGGCTAAGGCGGTACGTGAACGTATATGTATATACATATGTGATGCAAAGGTGTACATACGCGTCAGGATAGATGGATATGGATATGTGACATATATATACATACACATATAATGTATAGTGAAACGAATTTGCGTGCATCGGTCCTAAGTAACATCTAATTGTCTTTTTTCATCTGTTTCGTACAATCGTCGTGAGGATCAAGGATGAACAGGATGCTGGATGAGCCATAAAGTGTGTCAAACGTGAACTTTAGGTCAATCTCTGACCTCTTCAATGGAGAACATTTCAAGTGAAAGGAAATCAATTTAATTATCCTTTTTATTACGAATAATCTGTCTTTTCGTTTGGAATAATTTTAATTTAAACTAAACGTGCCTAAGTCCCTGAAGAGGTTGAATGTGAAGTGAATTAAAACCAGCGATACAATTCTCAGCTATACGTAATTACGTAGGCACGGCGTACACGTATGTATGTATGTATGTATGTATGTATGTAAGTATGTATGAACGCTATTCCTCAGTCACATACATTGTTATATATTTTCCATGTACACGAAGATTCGAATATCTCTTCGTTTTTATACAAATCATGGCTGGACTTGGTCTCCAAACCTTCTTTTTTCACTATAAGTTTATTTCGATCGTGCGAAATAAATTGCAGAAAAATGTTTAGCCTAGGGATTAGAATTTGAATATAAGAGGAGGGGTCGGACGATGAGCCGCGAACAGTTGCACGGTTCGAATAAAACAAAGCTCCTTTAATACTATTCGTATGCTTGTTTCTCTCTTCAAGTACTCAACGATCCTATTTAAAAGGTGACATGTTTGTCGGCATGCTCGCTGCGAATGGTGACCTTCTTGCTAACGATGGCTGACCGTTCTTGAATGTTGTCAATGTCAGCGGTCGCGGCTGCGTTCTCGTTGATCAGCGCTCTGAGGGCAGCTGCCCTGCGCTCCCTTTTCGCCTGTCTGTCGGCCAGTTCTTCCATCTCCGACTCGAGATCGTTCAGACGAGCTTTAGTCCGTTTGGCTCTCGTAGCAGCAGCGCTACTCGAGGCGGAGGCTTCATCCTCACCGAGCATCTTTGTCCATTTAGTGAGTGACGACGGGGCCGCGTCTATCTCGTCGAACAGTTTTGATCGTCGTTTGAACGTCGTCTCGGCTTCCTCGCTGAGCGACTTCACGTCCTTCGCGCCGGTGCTGAACATTTTCAACCGGTCCTGCTCCTGACGTAAGTGTCGCGAGACTCCAAAACCCCCGAAATCATCTTTCTCGTCGTCGAACCCGACCGCAGTTGCTATCTTCGTTTTCAGGTGTTGCGTCGTCGCGGCGACGTCGTTGGCGAAATTTTCAGCGAATCGACGACCACGCTGGCCACGGCTATCGTAGACGATATCCTCATCCTCGGCGGGGAACGGGTTGTCGACGGTAGCCAGGAAGGGTAGAGGTAAACGAGATGTGGCGCGGACCGAGGGATCTGTTTCGAGGTCAAGGTCACGACCGAAGGGACTTTGGCGAGGACCGGAGAAGTCGCGCGTGCCTGTAACAACCGATATCTAAAAATATGCAAACTCACTTACGTACACAGTTTTGTTAAATGGTTTCTTCCGGCATCCTGGCTTATATATATATATTTTCATCAAATCAACCACGACACGTGTTTGTATCGATCGCATATCTACGCGACGCGATGCTCTCCAAATCTACTGTCACAAAATCGTTACAGGCTCGGATAAAAAAGCTTAAAAACAAAAGCGATCTCGTTTTCTTTATATTAGGTTGCAAATAAGTTCATCGGATTTCTAGGGTAAAACACAAAAATCCCTAGCTATCTCACGCTTTTTACTGCAATCGACGTGAACTGAAAACTGCTACTCCTTCCGCGAGTCCGCGTTTTATGTACTCTTATGTACCGTGAGAGTAAGTAACTGTCGACAGGTAGAGAGTTCAAGCGATGTTGTTTCAGGATGTATTAATGAATCATCAAACTACCCAGCTTTGTGTTACGATTTTATTTCATATATACTATTACGCAAAAGTTGTTCTTTCTGTGGTAACTGTTTATGATTGTGCAACGGGGAGACTTGTATGTACGTGACCGTAACAGTATATATATAGTATATATATATATATATAGTAACGTGTGGTGAAACGATACATTCGATTCGTTTGACAATCGGGAGTTGGATCGGACATGCCACTCACCAGCGACCAGAATAATTACCAATAATTATAACGAAAGCTAAGTTCAGCGCTTTTCCTTCACAACGGCAGCGACGACGACGACATGGTGAGAACGCAGAGTTACCAAACTACTAAGAGTCGTAATAGCGGCGGTTGGACACGGGGAACGGGTGTAGGGGGGGGGGTGTAGAGCGGGGGCAAAGTTTTCAACCGTTTAAAACCATTTTGGAAAACGACTGAAGATGTTACCGATGTCGCCGCGTCGGGCTGCTATCTCGTCGGCCAACGAATTTCTCGGCTCGGAGAACAGCGGCCGGGCGCTGTATTTTCGGTCTAAGTGATCGACCATCGGCTTGTAATACGATTCCCCTTTGTCGTAGTTGCATCCGTACACTCGCGTACGCGGCCTACTCAGAATTGGCCTGGACATCTTTCCGGGATTGATACTCCGCGCCGATATCTGAAATCATCGATCATTTATATGGTAACCAATGCATTGATGGATTTGACCGATTTTAGGCAGAGTACTGGCCAGGTACCATTTGTCAGGGTACTGTGCAGGCTGCCTCCCCTCACTATTAGCGAGCTAGTTCAATTCTCCTCTTTCAGAGACTCTCCGCAGCGTTAGTACACGTTGATTCATACTGTATCATTAATGCTTCGAAGAATCTCTGGCTGAGAATCAACCCAATCCATTGGTAGTGAGGGAAGGTAAGGATTTTCTCCGGTAATTATAGTGGAGAACATGAGAGTGCCTGAGTAAGGCAAGGAGATTGAGGGAAATCACGATTATTTGGGGAAGAAATGATAAGGGCTTTATGGCTAATGAGGATTATTTAGGGAAGAAGTGATAAGGGCTTCATGGCTAATAAGGAGTATTTAGGAAAGAAATGATAAGGGCTTCATGGCCAATTGTGTCTTCTCACCTTTCATTTTAACACTAAACCTACCAAACCAGTCGAAATGTGTGGTTTTGTGTGAAATATATGGCGTATATAAAAGAAGTCGATAGCCTAGTGTTAAATCGTCGTGAGTGTGTCGTTAATCAGTTAGTGTGGTGACCTAATAAAGTGTGTAATAAAAAGTGTAAAAAGTGTATGCAGTTTCTCCATCTTGTTTCTTTTGAACATCTCCAGACGAATATATTTCAGTCTCTAAACTTGCAATTCAAGTAGCCAATGGCTACTCGTAACGCAGTGACTCGTCCCAACGTATAGCAATTTTTCCATGACGGAGTATATTCGTCAATCGTTGCTGGTTAAATTGAGACGTAGAAAAATGGGCGGAATGACGCGGATACGAAAATATTTGACACTCGTTTGACGTGTGTACGTAGAAATATCCTGTCGTAAATATTGTATCGTGAGGGACAGTCATAGTGACTCCGCTACAGGGTTTGAGTAATCGCGGTAAATTGGAACAAGCGAGTATATTATACCGTACGCGTTGCTCGAAAATAGATCGCGTCTAATTTGGTGTCCGTGAACTGAACTGGCACACGGTACATTCGAGTCCCGGACAACAGCCATACTACCACCGCCTCCGATTACAAAATACAATCGGTCTATTCTTCATTCTTCCCGAACGTCACTGTCCCTTTATTTATTCTTTCCTCATCCAATATCCCTCCTATTTATGTGGGACAATTAGTCAATTTCAATTAGTAAAAACTCGACCAAATGGTTTTGTTATAAACGTGAAGTTAGGCAAAGACAGTGACCTAAATTATCTCAATTATAAACGTAGTTTAAAATGGACGTTAATTTCTATAATCGCGTCAAGTCGAACCATTCTTAGCTTCTCTTCCATTTTGGCTGGTCAATAAGTTTGGTTTTTATTTTGGAGATGTTCTAGAAATAGGAAGTGACGAAACATGGTAGAAGCACGACAAAGCAAGTGGTATAATATGATTGGTACACGAGGTGCCATTAGCAAGAACAAACCATTCTCCATTGTGATAAATGAAGAGATTCAGTATTATATAGAACAGTCGATGGGAGATGCATACATAGACGTGTACGGTGCGTTCGTTAACACGTTACATAAGGACAACCAAATTTAGATCGTAGATGTATAGTTTTAAAACGATCATATCGATTTCAGAATTATTTTCGTTGAAATTATTTCAACCGTCTAAATACCTAATAAGATCGCGCGTGTCTATGTACCGTACGCGTTACGAGCTTGTTTCGTACTTCGTCGTTCCACTGCCGTGCCACGTAAAATTTTGCTATATTTTTAGAAATTCGTAATACCTACGCCGAACAGTGTTTCTGTTTTTAAACATCCACGATACTAAAATGGAATTCGGTAAATTGTTAATATTAAATTCGTAGACAAAGCAATCAGTTTTTGGAGTAAACGCAAATTAGTTAGGATCGAAAAAGGAGAAAAACGCGATAGCGGGAAAGACTCCTTTTTAATTCTTAGTTCTCGAATATCTCCACGATTTTAAATAATAAGTAAAACATAATAT